AGAAATAAAATCATTTAAGAGATCAAGTCATTTAATCATCAGTTGTATTTGGGCCTCCCCTGGTGGTGCAGGCATTCGAGCGCAGTGCTGTGAAGCTGTCCACAGCCTCTGCAGTGCCGGTTCAATCTCAGCCGGCTGGCGAGTGTCCCACATGGCATGGCAGACCTCTCCTGTCTCGCCCGGCTGCTCCCCTCAGCAGTGTATTTCGTCAGTGTGCCTGTTCTGTTCCCCACTCTTTCTCTGGTGAATCCTCTCACCCTCCCACGCATCTGGCCTGTACCCCGGTTCTTGTATAAAATAAATAATCTTTAAAAAAAAAAGAAAAAAAATCATCAGATGTATTTATAATATTATAATATCTTTTTATATTTGTGTAGGGCACTATCGTAGGTAAAGGAGACATCTAGTGATGGTCAGACAAAATCCCTGCCTTCCTGGAACATTAACAAACAAATGGGAAGTAAAATTACCATACATGCTATGAAGGAAAAGAACAAAAAAGCTGTGTGAGAGGATAATAGGGTGGCACTAATAATTTAGATTAAGCAGACACCTTAACAAAGGGCAATAAATTAATGGAGAAATGATAGGAAAAAGAATTTGGACTTCCAGAGGTGATAAATTGTGGGAAGGTAAATATGTGGGGGAAATTAATGTAGGATCACGATATTTTAGTTAAGTTCATTTGTGCAGACCCAACTCAGTGTCAACTCTCTACCTCCAGTGATCAAGTTGCTTTCCTCCTCCTGGTAAGGTGAAACACCCTCACAAAAAAAAATTTATATTCTGCTTTTAGGCAGGTGGAAGAGGGCACAGAGTTCTGCCTATATTTGCTGCTTTTTAACTACTGTCAGCTCAAAATAATTCTTATGTCAAACTGACATATTCTGATCCCCTTTGCAGAAATGTAGAGTATAAGCAGGAGACAGATAAGACTGAATAATGAGGGACCAGATGTTGAAGGGTCTTGTTAGGAAAGTGACAGGGTTTCGACTATATCCTGAGGGCAAAGGGAAATCTGAATTGGGAAGGGAAGTCCTGAAAGGATCAGAATTGGTTATGGAGGTAAGATTACAGACAGGAAGAAACATAAAGGTATATTTAGGGGGCCTCCCTGGTGGCACAAGGGGTTAAATCTCAGCACAATGAAGCTATCTGCAGCTACTTCGGCACAAGTTAGATCCCAGGCCAGGGAGCTAACCCACATGGTGCAGCAGACCTCTCCTGTCTCGCCCGCTGCTCTCCCCAGCAGTGTATTTCGGTAGATCTGCCTGTTCTGTTCCCCACTCTGTCTCTGGTGAATCCTCTCACCCACCTCTCCCCCGCACAATGGCCTACACCCCAGCTCTTGTATGCATAAATAAATAAAAATAAATCTTTAAAAAAAGGGTATATTTAGGAGGTAAAATAGGGTTTTGTGACCATAAGATAGGGTTGAGAAAGTGGCTTCAAGTTTAAGCAATGGAGTAGATGGCAATGCATTAAACTAGAAGTGGAAATATTTCAGGTCTGAGGAATGAGAAGTTCCATTGTGAACAAAGTACCTGTGAGACACACAGCTAAAAATATGCAGTTGACAGCTAAACATTTGAGTCTGGAATTCTAAGCAGCAGTCTGGCTGAAGATACAGATTTTGGAATAATTTGTAGATTAAAAAAAAAAATGAGGGCCTCCCTGGTGGCACAGGCGGTTGAACGCAGCACTGTGAAGCTGTCCGCAGCCTCTGCAGTGAGGGTTCGATCCCCGCCGGCCTCGGAGCAAACCACATGGCGAGCAGACCTCTCCTGTCTCGTCTGCTGCTCCCCTCAGCAGTGTATTTCATCAGTCTGCCTGTTCTGTTCCCCACTCTGTCTCTGGTGAATCCTCTCACCCTCCCGCGCATCTGGCCTGTACTCCGGCTCCTATACAAATAAATTTAAAAAAAAAAAACTTAAAAAAAAACCAAAACTGAACCTAGGAAAATGGATGAGTTTGCCTAGGAAGAAGGTGAAGGGTGAGCAGAAGACCTTGAAGCGCTCGAACATTAGAGAGTCTACCAAGGAAACTGTTCAAGAAAAGAGCAGTGGGAGTGTGAGAAGACAAAGGAAGAGGATCATTTGACCAAGAGGGAAGCACAAACAAAGATGGGAAAAACACCCTCAAGGTCAGATAAGATAAGGAGAAGAGGCGGCATGGACTAGGAACAAAAGAAGTTTACAAAGAAGGAGAATCAAAGGAATTGAGAAGAGTGAGCTTACTCTGGGCTGTTTAGAGTCTTGCCAACGATAAACATCTAGCTTCTTGAATAGTTCCCTGAACACTGGTGTCCACATCTGATGAACGTGAAATAAACAAGAAGCAGGCTAAAGACATGAGACAATCAACCATGTTTGGAACAAGGCTTATTATAACCCAACTCCACTCGCCAGCTAGACATATGTGGATAATAGATGAAAGCAGAATGTTCAAGGGATTGCAGGATGGTGAGTGCAAGTAGGTCAATCAGGAACACAGAAGGAAGTAAAAATACTTTCACAAAAAGATACCATCAAAGCATAACTTCAATACGGCGTGCTCGTGGATGGGTGGAAGACCACAGCAGATGTATTAGGTAAGTGAACAGCAGAAAAGAGATGTTCTTTCTTAAAAAAGATTTTAGGCAAATTCTAATTTTAAGAGTTAGAATGTCAAGCATCACAAACTCTTTAAATGCTGACTCTAAAGACACATTTTCACACAAAAAGTACCATCTTCATATAGCCTATCTTGTAAATTCCTACATGTAAGTTTAAAAACCCATTGCACTATACAAGACTTGAGTTGGTGGCATATTGTCTGAAAAAGCTGTGTTTGTAAAATGACCACAAGTTTCATGGGAAAACAGTGTCATGTGACTGCTTAAAAATGCAAGTACAACTTTAGCCCATTGTAAGAGAAGTGTCCACATAAGCAATAGCCCTACTGCATTCTGAATTAATTATAATAAACCTGGAGTATTATGTTGAGTTAAAAGCAACAAAATTTAAGAGTCATATCTCTTACCTATGGCTTTCTTTCCATTCCCATTACCAGATTCTCTCATACGACCCCTGGCAATTGTTTCGAAAGATGACCCAACAAACCGGCTTAACACACATGCCTTTTGAAATGTCACTTTGCATTTCTCCCATCAAGAGGTAGAACTTATTTTTCTTCCCTTTATTCCAAACTGGCCCTTTGTCTTATTATGGCCAACAAGAAGTGATGGTGTTAGGGGGAAAGGATGTCCTGAGCTAATCCCATACAGGTTTTGTGGACCCCACCCCCACTCCAGACTAAAGCCATCAGGACATTGGGAAAGACAAATCCCATCACCACCAAAGGGAGGGTGGCTGGGACCTGAGGGTGGAGTTGGGCAGCCAGGTTGCATATAAAAACCAAACACGTGGGCCTTGGGATGGCTCCTGCAGCTCGCCTCCTGGCTACACAGCTCCTGGCTCCCGGCCAGCTCTCAGAGTGCCATTTTGGGATTCCTGATCGGCGGATCGGGTAGGACTCATTTAAAACTTTATGTCTCCCACTTTTCTCCCTGAGCTGTACATTTCCTCATTTGCCCTTCCCTTGTAAATAAACCTTTATTAACCTTTCGCGTGTGCCTGCAATAGAGCATTAATAAGTCCTTTGAAGCGCGCGGGTGAGGACCCACAGTCAGGCACCCCGTTTTGTATCGAGGTTACTCTACAACAATGGGACTTAACCTACAGTCCTCAGATGTAAGAGGCTTCATAACCCATTTTTACCCTTTTGGTTGCTAACCACCAAGTCAAGAAGCTGGAGCCAGATTATAACTGGTGAGAAATCAAGGATAAGAGAGGACATGTGGAAGACAGCTAAGGGGCTCAAGCTGGCTCCAAGGCCCCAAATATGTGACCACGAAGCCATTTTGGACTTTCAGCCACAGTCAAGCCAACGATGGTAACATTCTATATCGACACAATCCAACATATGTATATTCTTTATCTATGCTACACATGTCTTTTGAAACCTCGGAATGTGGCAAGGGTGTCTTAAGAACTTCATTCTTAATTTCATTTGATCTTAACCAAACTTCAAATAGCTACTGGCAACTTTATCAGGTAGTGTAAAGACCTCCCATTCTAATTTATCCAGCATAATCCTGCTACAAGAACAAGGCCCAGGGGAGTAGAAAATCACCTTAGCACACACCTTTCTGGATCTACAAACATATAAGCAGTAACTACAGATGGCTGCTGAAGAATATAGCTCTGTCGACTGGTGTTAAAAAAAAAAAAAGCAAAAGGAGCTCCTTCCAACATCCCCCAAACGAAAGGAATGACCCAACCTAACTGGATTTCAGTTAACTCAACGCAGCCCACTTCTGCTTCTCTCCTTTCCCATAGGTTAGCTTTCCTCGCCCTCCAATTAATCTCCCTCTCCTCTGAATTTTGTTTTTTGTTTGTTTGTTTTGTGGGCCCCTCTCCGGTGGCCGGGGATCGAAAACGCCCTGCAGAGGCTGCGGGCAGCCTCGCAACCCAGCGCTCAACCGCTGCGCCACCAGGGGAGGCCCTCCTCTGAATTTTGAACACTACGTACAACGGGCATCGCATTTGTAGCATTCTTTCACATTGCTTCTGCCTTCCATAGACCTGAGCCTCTTCGAGGGCAGGGGCCATGCTAGGTCTCTGGGGAGCGGCAATGCTTCCAGATTCCCCACTTCCCTCTGAACCACGAACAGGTACTTCCGGAATGGATGAAGGACCTAAACTCAACCAACGTATATTTCTTGGTTAATTAAAAATGGGCCCCAAACTCTCGAGTTTTACCCTTCGCTTAATCTACCGAGCACCACTCAATCCCGCAAGGTGCAGGCGAATCCAGCAGCCGCGGGGCCACGTAACGCCCTCGGCCGCCTCCCGCACGCCACGCCCAGTCTGCTGGGTGCCGATTGGGCGGGGCCGAACCTAGTGGCCGATTGGGCGTGGCGTGCGTGAGTGAAGGCGGGGCCCAGAAGAGGCACCCACACTCGGGTTCAGACTCGGTAGTTTTCGGCAATCCTCGACAATTTCCGACTACGGGCTCCTCCGCCGCCGATCCTCCTCGGGCATTTCCGGCTTCCTTCGCGCTTTTCCGTCTAGCTCCCGCGCGGATCTCTCCACTTCGGGTATTTCCGTGTCCCGCTCGGAAGTACTCGGCAATCGCTCGGCCTTCCCCCATCCCCCGGTAACGGTCGCTGGTGAGTTTAAATGAGCCGGGGCTGGCCGGGCCGGAGCCGCTACGGGGGGGGCCTGAGGCACTGCAGAAAGTGGGCCTGAGCCTCGAGGATGACGGTGCTGCAGGAACCCGTCCAGGTAATGAAAACCCTTCTCTCAGGCTGGGCTCGCGGCGTTGGTCGGGAAGCCGCGTACGGCCACCCCGCGGCCTGGTGCGGCTAGGCCGGCTGCTTCTCCCGCCTCCCCTCCTGCCGGGTCCTGCCGGGCTTCTCCTCAGTTCTGAGGCCGCGCCGGCGCCCGGAGCCGCGTTACCTCAGGTCCTGCGTTACTTCTGCCGCGAGGGTGAGCGGGGTTCGGCCGATGATACCTCCTCGCCCGTCCGAGCCAACGTCCGGCGAGCCCCTCCTGTCAGTCCAGGGGCCTGGCCGGCCGGGGTGGGGGGGGGCGCCCCCCAAACTCGCCCCAGGGGCTCTCTTTCCCGGGGGGGGGGGGGTTGGGAAGCGCGTCTGACCCGAGCCGGTGCGGTCCTCGCGAAGGTGGGGCAAGTTTGCGGGGGGAGGGGGGGAGATTTGTTTTTGTTTTCTGTGAGAGGGTCGAGGGGGAGTGTAGGATCGTGGGGTTTTTTTTTTTAATACTAATTTCTGCTTTGGTGACAGACTCTGTAGCCGACGTTGCTTTTCTGGCCCATTGAATTTCCCATTGGACAATGATCGGAGAACTCAAGGCCGGGTGCTGAGGGACAAGCACCTATGCGAGGGGAGGGGGTGAAAACGACACATCTGGGTTTTTTCCATGACCGGCGGTTTCGACCAGGAATGTTTTATTGTGCTTGCTTCTAAGGTGTGGGGGCCTGAAAGGCAAATCCGTCCATTTTCCATCCATTTCACGGTCCTTACCACACCAAGGTGTGGGTTGACGCACGGTGCTCCCCTGGCATGGGAGAAACCCGGTTGGATTTTAAGCGTGTGATGCATTGCCAAGTCATTTTACTCCCTGCCCTCTGAAGAAAACTACGTCTTTTTTCCCTTGGTGAGGAGCCAGATTTGGGAGGCTTTCAGTCCACCTTATGATATTTGACTTAATTAAAAGGAGTTGACCTCTATCAACGGCTGTCATTGAAGTTAAAAAGCAAGTTGTAAAGCAAGCTGATTTATAAATTACTTCATCTAGCCCTTAATAGGCCGGTGATATCCAGTAGCAAATATTTTCATACATCACCACTCCCGTGTTTAATTTTTCTTCACAGGATGACATGTCACTTTCTCCTATTTGGGCCTTCCTACCTCCCTCCCCACCCCCCCCAGCTCTTTACATAGAGCATCTATTAGTATTTTAAATTATGTGTGAGATTCTCTCTTAGGAAATTTACCTGTTTGTAGGTTGTACCAGTGCTTCTAAAGCTCGCCCTTTCCACCCAAATTCATCTTAATAAAGAGCCCTCCACTTTTTAAGCCTGACATGAAATTAGCAGTTCTTAAATGAATAAGCAGATCACTCAAGCTGTTTAATTTCTGTTTCAGTTTCTTGTAATTTTCTCTTAATAATTAATGATACATCTGCCTTCTCTTGCTCCAAAAGGCTTCTAAAATGATAAACTAGTTTGACTTATAGCCTGTAATCACGATTTAAAATAATTTCAGCTTGAGTAAAACCTTAGAGAAGAAATATGTAGCCTCTTCCTAGATAGTACCCATCAGGTTTTCTCTTTATCTTTAAAGTACTTAGATATTTTTAAGATTTAAAAGTAAAAAATATTTTCCAGTCTACCTTTGTCCATTAGATTTGGGGAGAGTGGTAAGGCTTAGGATATAACCAGGTGAGAATTTTGGTTGAGTTTATAGTTAAAGTTCTAGGGATCTGGAGCAGTGGGAGGAACCAGCAACTTTGGCTAGGATGGTAAACATCAACAGATCAGGGATAGTGCTGAAAATGGGGAAGATTTGTAAGAAGAGAATAAAAATAGAATGTTGTTGTTGTTGTTGTTGTTAATGCTAAGTGCATGTTTGGAAAGGAATGAGAGTAAGTTGAAAAGTTGTTTCCTTTCTTGGGAGTCCTCAGGGTTTGTGGTACTGCTGGTCATGGGAAAAAGTTGAGAAAAAAGATGAGCAACTGTTTCATGCTTTTTTTCCCTTCAAGATTTTTAACGTGGAATAGCCAGTCTCATGTGCCATATATGCCTAGGTGTAAGCTCCTCCTTCAAATTATAGAAGTGTTACATTATGTTTGAATCTTTATAAAAACCTCTCCCATTATGAGACAGAATGTAACTGGGGAAGACACACTAGCCTAAATTGCTTTAGTCGATGTTAATTTGGATGTTTATAAGATTCACCTGATGAAACTGGTTTTTAAAAAAGAACCAAATACATTTTGTATAGATTATTCCTGGGGGAATACAGATTATTCCTGTAGTACAATTATTCCTGGGGATAGGACTTCACAGGTAGTAGTATTGGATGAAGTTGTAAACAAGCCTTGATAATAAACATATAGTAAGTAGGCACTATACACATAATATCATTTTAGAACTCATTAGGTAGTTAAGGAATACTTTTGGCTTGGGATAAGATATACAGGGACAGCATCTAACATTAATTCAAAGAGTACCATATTTCAGATAATTTAGAATCAAGGGTAGTGTAATGAGGAATATTTTGTTAGATGAAAGAAAAAAATGGTCAGAGATATGCGAACAGTTTCAATGAACTTATTCTATGCAACAAGAGTAGAAAAATGAAATTTCTAAATATAGTGATATTTTAAAAGTACAGTGTGTAACTAAATGATAAATTAGATTTGACTATTTGATCTTTGTTCAAAAACTTATATTAGCTGAAACACATTTGTTTATGAAATTTCCTTTGGAAAATATATGACATTATTTTAGTAGAATATTGTATCTTGGAAAAGTACTACATAGCACTTGAATTCAGAAAATAAGCTTAGGAAGTAGGGGTGGATGATGAAGTCATTATAAATACATCATTTAATACTTTGATGAACTAATGTCCTGATATAGCCCTTGTGCTTAGGACCTGCATGTAGAGAAAATATTAGATTAAAAAAAGTCACAAATTACTGATTACAAGTTTAAAAAAAAACAACCTTATACATAGAATGTTATGAGAGAGACCTAATAGGAGAGACCCGACCTAAGCCCAGGAGTTAGGTTTGTGATTGGACCGCAAAGGAGGTACTTCAAACCAGCAGAAAGTTAAACAATCTCAATGAAAATATTAAATTGGAAAGAATATTATGCATTTGCTATGTGCCAAGCGTAGAAGCCTATGAAAGAAAAATGCTCTACAACCGTCACTAAAAAGGATGTAGCAAAGTCCTTTTAAAACAATATTGAAGTTGACATGGGGGGGATGTGATATGGGGGGAAGATAGTGAGAAGGTAATAGTGTAATTTGAAGAGAGTTAAAGGCAAAGAAAACAGCATGTGTAAATTCCCTAAGACTTAACAGAATGTGGAATTGGAACTAAAAGAAGGCCAATGTGGCTGGAATTGCATAGTGAGTTGCATAGTAATGGATGACCATTATAAGGAGCTCATTTTTCATTCTGAGGTCATGAGCAGTCATTGAAGGATTTTCAGTAAATGATCTGAATGTAGATATTAATATCTCTCTGACTACTATATGAGAATTGTAATGGAAGGAGAATAGAATGAAAACAGTCTTAGCATAAAGAAGACATAGAATAAAATGGTAGCGGAGTAGGAAAGAGATAATCTCATATTTTAGAGGTAGAACGATTAAGATATGGAAATTGATTGAATGGGTAAGAGGGTGGGTGCCTCTATTTTATTTTGGTGGTGCAATTGAAAAATGGAGAATACTTCCCAAGGGGCAAGCCAATTGCAACAGGACAATTTAGAATTCCGTTTTAAGTTAAAGATATTGTGAGGGCCTCCCCAGTGGCGCAGCGGTTGAGTGCTGGGTTGCGAAGCTGCCCGCGGCCTCTGCAGCGCCAGTTTGATCCCCGGCTGCTCCCCGGCCACCAGAGGAGGGTCCCACATGGCGCGCAGACCTCTCCTGCCGCCTGCTGCTCCCCTCAGCAGTGTACTTCGGTCCTTCTGCCTGCTCTGCTCCCCACTCTGGCTCTGGTGAATTCTCTCACCCTCCCGCGCTTCTGACTGTACCCAGTGCTTGTATAAATAAATCTTTAAATTAAAAAAAAAAAAAATCACATTGCTCCCTTACACATAAATTGAGCTAGAACAAATTAGTGTTTAAAAAAAAAAAAAAAAAAAAGATATTGTGAAACCAACCAGTAGAAATATGGAAACATAACCTCTAATTTTTTGAGAAATCTAGCCTTGATAAGATAGGAACAATTGAATAATATTACAATTTACTATGTATTTGATTGTACCAGGTGGAAATAAAGGAATTCAGGAAAGAGAGATACCTTGTAGATTGGAAAAATGGGAAAGATTTCTTGAAGGTTTCAAGAAAGATTTCTTGGAGCTTTAGAAGATGGAAAGGGTTTGGATTGTTAGAGAAAAGAAAGAATTTTCTTTGCATGGAATGGCATGAGCAAAAGCCCAAAGTTGAGAATGGTATTTAGAAACAAAAGAACAGTAAAAATACTATTGGTTTAGGTAGAATAGGATTGAGAACTCTGGCCTCCCTGGTGGCATAAGGGGTTAGGTTTCAGCACTATGAAGCTATCAGCAGCCACTGCAGCACGAGTTCTATACCCCGCCAGGGAGCTAACACACAAGGCACAGCAGACCTCCCCTGTCTCACCCACTGCTCCCTTCAACAGTGTATTTCAATAGATCTGCCTGTTTTGCTCCCCACTCTGTCTCTGGTGAATCCTCTCACTCCTGCCTCCATACTTCTGGCCTACACCTCAGCTCTTGTATGCATAAAAAAATAAAATGAATCTTTAAAAACAAAGAAAAATAAATTGAGAGCAGGCAGAAATAAGGTTTTGCTAGTTAGGTAGAATCAGGTTTGGGGGATTTTACATCCAGGCTGAGGAGTTCAGATTTAATGTAAATAAATAATAGTTTTTTTAATAGAAGA